TTCTTTCTGTTGCTAGCTCGAGTGCTTCACCATCCCTTCTTGTTCCTTTGAAAATATCTAGTCCCTTCTTCAAATTCTCTTTTGTGACCCTTTTGAGCATGCCATCTATTTCCTGTCAGAACCCTGCCTGATATAAAAACTAAAAACAGAATAAAGCAGGAACCTTGTTAAATCCATCCTGGTAAAAAGTGGCTCAGAGTTGGTGAAATCTATGATACTAGCAGCAGTGGGATCTGCAGCCTAACAGTCATCTGGCATGATTTGGAGCACTTATCCTGGTTATGAAACCTCCATGCTTGGTCCTCCTGCCTTCCCGGCAATTCTAGTTAAATCAACTAGGGCTCAATCTCAATTCCTATTACTTGGAACCTAAAACCCTGACTGATACAGGACTCTTGTTTTCTCTTCTCAGATCATAGTTTTATTTCTCTCTCCCTTCCTCCCTTCTTTACTCCCTCTCAATCTTTCTCTCATTTTCTCTCCCTCTCTCCATTGAATTTAATTGAAATCTATGCACTGGTAGTTGTCAACTCCCTCTTACTGAACTCTAAACCTATTAACTCAGTTACCTACTAGACATCAACATATCACCATTTAAGTGTCATAGAAGCTCCTTAAATCCACTATTTTAAAACCTGTTATTTCACCTCTCACCCTAATCTCTCTTACTCTTCAGCCCCTTAACCTGGTACTCAGTTTCATCTGGGTAGAAGATACTACTATCTATTTACCCAAATGAGAAACCTGTTAGCTTTCCTAGACTCTTCTATTTCCCTCCTTCCCTTCGGCCCCACCACCACATGCAAGCAGTCAGATTCTACTATTTCTACTTCCTCCTATCACAATGACTTCTAAGTGCCAATTGCTAAGGTTATAGTTCATATCATTTCTCACCACCAGAAATGCCCTCTCTCCACTTATACTCATTGCTGTATTCTTCCACCTGAAATTAACATGCTAAAACTCAAATCTAAAGACCCAGTGCCTCCATTAATGTCTTAAACAAGACTCTCCATGACCTGGCATCATTTTCTAGAATTGCCATGCTAGGCTCCAGCCAGCTCACAAAACGTTCAAATGATCTTCCTCACCCCCATGCTATATATTATATGGATATACCCGGTATTTCCTCAGTCTCAAATATCTACTGCTGAGTTACACAACACCCGTTCATCCTTCAAGATTCATGTCATCTCCTGACCACCTCCACCTTATAGATGGCCCATGTCTGTGCACTCCAGGAATGCCTCTATCATAGCGTTTATCACACCACACTTTAATTCTTGGTTTAACTGTCTATCATCCCCTCTAGACTGTGAACTTACTAAGAGAAGGCACAGTGCCTAACACCCAGTATACAATGCATAGATTTTTGTCACATAAATTACATTTCTCAACCCAAATTAAATTATAAAACTGTAAGGTGCCTGTGTTAGGGAGTGGGAAAAAAGAGCCAAGCTATAACTGCTGCCTCTATGGCGGGGGCGGGGGGGCGGGGGGGCGGTGTTGCGTAGGACGCAAAGAAAGGAGCAAAAACAAGGCGGAACGACTGAACAATGAATCGAGCATGGTAAATCTGGGGCCCTGAAACACTATAGGAATGATCATTTGGAAGCAGAAAGAGTTTCTTGGAGTCACCTGAAGCAACATCATTTACACAGCAACTTGTAAGAAGCTAGCCCTGTCCTATGGACAAATTTGATTCAGTATTCGAAGGCTCATTTGTATAAGACTGCTCCTTATCCAAACAGAAGGGGAGATCATCAACTGTGTCATCTCAGAACAGAAAGGACAATGATGTATTCTTACTGCTGGGTGTTTCACTAACTTAGAGCCTTTGTGAGAAATGTGGCACGCCTGTGGGACTTCCCTGGTGGTCCATTGGTTAAGACTTCACCTTCCAGTGCAGGGGGTGCAGGTTCGATCCCTGGTCCCCTGGTCGGCGAGCTAAGATCCCACATGTCTCGGGGCCAAAAAAGCAAAACATAAAACAGAAGCAATACTATAACAAACTCAATTAAGACTTAAAAAAAAAGGTGTCATGCCTGTATTTTTCCTGGTGTCAAATGGATGATTTCCAGTGACTAATGATGATGCCAACTGGCTCCCAAAGATTTCATATTTTGTGAAAATAATTCAGAGGCAGAAGGTCCAAAAGACACCATAAGGATATTTCACCAAAAATATATTTTCCCAAGACACTGAGCAATTTTAAATAGAGTAGGTTTTTTTTTCAAATGTCCCAACAGGATTCAAGCCAAAAATTATTTATTCATTTATGTATCCAGCTAGTCAACAAACAATTAAGCAGTTCTTATGTGCCTTGACGGTACAGTGTAAACTATAGAAATAAACAAATAAATAAAATGCATTCCCTGCTCTTAATGAATTCATAGTTCAGAGGGACAAGATAAATAAACGATAACACTATACAACAAATACAACTGTGTTATGGGGAATTGTTGAGTTGATTATATTAATATTCAAAATACCAGCTGCTCATTTCAGGTCGAAGATGGCAGCATAGGAAGATCTTGAACTTAACCTCCTCCTGTGCACATACTGAATCTACAGCTACATATGGAACAATTCACCCAGAAAAAGACCTGAAAGCTAAATGAACAGCTCCTTCACAATGAATGATAAAGGGTCCACGTCAAGACGAGTAGGTGAGGCAGAGGCGCAGTCTCGCCAAGAGCCCCACCCCCAGCATGGTGACCCACAATAGGGAGGGATCTCACAAGTCTGAAGCATCTCTCTGAGGAGTGAGGGGTTTGTGCCCCTCATCAGGTACCCCAACCCTTGGGACCTGCACTGGAGAGACAAGCCCCCGAAGTGTCTGGCTTTGACAACCAATGGGGCTTACATCTAGGAAGTCCAAAGGGCTATAAGGAACTGCGATACTACTCTTAAAAGGTCCACATGCAGACTCACTTGCTTCAAGGCCCAGTGCAGAACCAGCAGTTTGAAGGCTGCCTAGACTATTTGTGAAGGTTTGTTTGCTAATCTTGGAGCATCTGCCAAAGGGGTAGGGGCCCTTTGGGAATCTCTCTGAGGATGGAGGCACTGGTAGGTGCCATTTTTGCACTCTCCCTCTACCTTGCTAGTGCCAGCAGGTGTGCACAGTCCTTGAACATTCCCACTGCCCCAATAAAGCCAGCAGGTGCAGCCTACTCCAACCCTGTACTCTACTACTGCCTCACTAAAAACAACGGGTGTGCCACGGCCCTGCACGCTCCCACTGCCTCACTAAAACCAGCAGGTGGGCACCAGGCCTATGCTCCCCCTCTGCCATGCTAGAGCTAGCAGGCACTTGCAGTGCACACAGGGGACACTCCTTGATTGCCTGGCTCCGGTGGCCAGGGGGCCTTCCATTCCTGGGTCCCACAGGACTATGACAATCAGAGACAGTTCTAGGAAGGCTACCATCCTCAGGGCACTGCACAGACAGCAAACTGAAACACACCCCCAGTCTCTGTGAAAAAGGTCTATTTACTTGTCCTGGAGCTTCAGCCTGAGGGACATGCTTCAAGTTTGTCACAAATCTAAAAGGTACAGTGGTGCTATCAGAGAATGTAGGCCAAGGGATGCCACCTCCACACTCTCCCTCAGCTTTGCTACGGCTCACCAGTACCTCACAGAAAGGAGCTTATATCCTCATCAGGAGCCTCAATTTTTCCAACTGTCACCCAAGAGACACCTCCAGATCTCCTGGTCTGGAGGCCAACAGGGTTTACAACTGTGGTCCCAGAGGACTGTATATATTTGCATACTTTGAAAGCTGTTGCATGAGGATCTGGCTTCCAATCAGCCTGAAACTAGGTGCTGAATGAGATCCCTTCCTTTGGAACACTGACAGATATATACAGAACATTGCATCGAAAAGCAATAGAATACATATTCTTACAAATGCATTCTTCAGGATAGGTCATACATTAGGCCACAAAACAAGTCTCAATAAATTTAAGAAGACTGAAATCACATAAAGCATCTTTTCTGACCACAATGGTATGAAACTAGAAATCAATTACAGTAAGATGGGAAAAATCATGATTAATGTGGAAATTAAACAACATTCTACTGAACAATGAGTGGATCAATGAAGACATCAGAGAAGAAATTTTAAAATACCATAAGACAATTGAAAATGGAAACACAACATACCAAAATCTATGGGATGCAGCAAAAGCAGTTCTAAAAGGGAAGTTCATAGCAATACAGGCCTACCTCAAGAAACAAGAAAAATTTCAAATACATAATATAACTTTATGCCTAAAGGAATTAGAAAAAGAAATATGAATGAAGCCCAAAGTTAGTGGAAGGAAGGAAATAACAAAGATCAGAGTGGAATAAGTGAAATAAAGATGAAAAAGACAATAGAAAAGATCAGTGAAATTAAGAGTTAGTTCTTTGAAAAGACAAACAAAATTGATAAAACTTTAGCTATAGACTCACCAAGAAAAAAGGAGGGTTCAAATAAATAAAGTCAGAAATGGAAGAGAACTTACAACTGATACAAAAGAAATACAAAGGATCATTAGAGACTATTACGAAAAATTATATGCCAACAAATTGGACAACCAAGAAGAAATGGATAAATTTTTAGAAACATACAATATTTCAAGAATAAATCATAAAGAAACAGAAAATCTGAATACACTGATTACTAGTAAGATTAAATCAATAATCAAAAACCTCCCAACAAATAAAAGTTCAGGACCAGATGGCTTCACTCGTGAATTCCACCAAACATTCAAAGAAGATTTAATACCTATCCTTCTCACACTCTTCCAAAATATTGAGAAAGAGGAAATACTCCCATACTCATTTTATGAGGCCAGCGCTACCCTGATACCAAAATCAGACAAGAACACAACAAAAAAAGAAAATTACAGTTCAATATCCCTAATGAACATAGAGGCAAAAATCCTCAACAAAATATTAGTAAACCAAATTCAACAATACGGTAAAAGGATCACATACCATGATCTAGTGGGATTTATTCCAGGGATGCTAGGATGGTTCAATATCTGTAAATCAATGAACATGATATACCACATTAAAAAAATGCAAAATAAAAATCATAATCATCTCAATACAGGCAGAAAAAACATTTGACAAAATTCAACATCAATTTATGATAAAAACACTCAACAAAGTGGGTATAGAGGGAACATACCTCAAGATAATACAAGTTATATATGACAAGCCCACCGCTAACATCATACTCAATGGTGAAAAGCTGAAAGCTTTTCCTCCAACATCAGGAACAAGACAAGGAGGCCCACTCTAACCACTTTCATTCAACATAGTACTGGAAGTCCTAGCCACATCAATTAGGCAAGAAAAGCAAATAAAAGGTATCCAAATTGGAAAAGAAGAAGCAAAACTATCACTACCTGCAGAACATGATTTTATATATAGAAAACCTGAAAGACTCTGCCAAAAAACCGTTAGAGCTAATAAACAAATTCAGTAAAGTTGCAGGGTACAAAATCAATTTACGAAAATCTGTTGTATCTCTATATACTAACAATGAACTATTAGAAAGAGAAATTAAGAAACCAATCCCATTTACAATTGCATCAAAAAGAATAAAATACCTAGGAATAAATTTAATCAAGGATATTAAAAACCCATACACTGAAAACTATAAGACATTGATGAAAGAAACTGAAGAAGACACAAATAAATGGAAAGATATCTTGTGCTCATGGGCTGGAAGAACAATTATTGTTAAAACGTCCATATTACCCAAAGCAATCTACAGATTCCATGCAATTCCTATCTAAATTCCAATGCATTTTTCACAGAAATAGAATGATCCTGAAATTTGTATCGAGCCACAAGAGATCCTGAATAGCCAAAGTAACTTTGAGAAAGAAAAATAAAGCTGGAGGCATCACGGTCCTGATTTCAAACTATATTACAAAGCTATAGTAATCAAAACAATATGGTATTGGCATAAAAGCAGACACATAGATCAAGGGAACAGAATAGAGAGTCCAGGAATAGACCCATGCATATATGGGCATATCTCAGAGATACTATGGATTAGGTTCCCAGACTACCACAAGAAAGCGAATATCGCAATAGAGTCACACAAATTTTATGGTTTCTCAGTGCATATAAAAGTTATATATATATTATACCATAGTCTATTAACTGTGTGATACCACTATGTTTAAAAACACAATGTACATATCTTAATTAAAAAATACTTTATTGCTAAAAATTGCTAACCATCATCTAAGCCTTCAGCAAATCATAGTAGTAACATCAAAGATCACTAATCACATATCACCATAGCAAATATAATAATAATAATAAAGCTTGAAATACTGCAAGAATTAACAAAATATGACACAGAAACACAGTGAGCAAATACTGTTGGAAAAATGGTGCCAACAGACTTGATTGATGCAGGGTTGCCACAAACCTTCAATTTGTAAAAAAAAAAATCAATGTCCGAAAAAAATTTTTTAAATCAATCACAATAAAATGAGGTATACCTGTATGATCAATTAATTTATGACAAAGGAGGCAAGACTATACAGTGGGGAAGGACAGTCTCTTCAATAAATGGTGCTGGGAAAACTGGACGGCCACATGCAAAAGAATGAAACTAGACTACTATCACACACCATACACAAAAATTAACTCAAAATGGATTAAAGACTTGAATGTAAGACCTGAAACTGTAGAACTCCTAGAAAAAAACATAGGTGTTTTCACCAGTCTTGGTGATGATTTTTTGGATCTGACTCCAAAAGCAAGGGCAATGAAAGCAAAAATGAACAGGTGGGAGTACATAAAACTAAAAAGCTTCTGTACAGCAAAGGAAACCATCAACAAAATGAAAAGGCAACCTATGGAATGGGAGAAAATATTTGCAAATCATGCATCCAATAAGGGGTTAATATCCAAATACATAAAGAACTCATACAACTCAAGAGCAAAACAACAATCTGACTGAAAAAATGGGCAGTGAATTCTGAATAGACATTTTTCCAAAGAACACATGCAGATGGCAGACAGGCATATGAAAAGATGCTCAATATTACTAATCATCAGGAAAATACAAATCAAAACCACAATGAGATACCACATCAAACCTGTTAGAATGGCTATCATCAAAATGACAAGAAATAACAAGTATTAGCGAAGAAGTGGAGAAAAGAGAACCTTTGTGCACTGTTGGTGGGCATGTAAAATTGGTGCAGTCACTATGGAAAACAGTATGGAGGTTCCTCAAAAAATTAAAAGTGGGGCTTCCCTGGTGGCACAGTGGTTGAGAGTCCGTCTGCTGATGCAGGGGACACGGGTTCGTGCCCCGGTCCGGGAGGATCCCACATGCTGCGGAGCGGCTGGGCCCGTGAGCCATGGCTGCTGAGCCTGCGCGTCCAGAGCCTGTGCTCCACAACGGGAGAGGCCACAACAGTGAGAGGCCCCCGTACCGCAAAAAAAAAAAAAAAAAAAAAAATTACAAGTGAAGCAACCATACGATCCAGCAATTCCACTTCTGGGCACTTATCCAAAGAAAACAAAAACACTAATTAGATATAATTAGATATATGCACCGCTATGTTCTGCACTATTATAATGGCCAAGATATGGAAAAAACCTAAGTGGCATGTGTATGTATATATACCTCTATTGTTGTTGACTACAGGTACAGCAGATCCCTAGAGCTAATTCATTTTGCCTTAACGAAACTTTATGCCCTTTGACTATATATATAATGGAATATTGCTCAGCCATAAAAAAGAATGAAATCTTGCCATTTGCAAAAACATGAATGGACCTTGAGGGTATCATACTAAGTGACATAAGTCACACAGAGAAAGACAAATACTGAATGATTTCACTTACATGTGGCATCTAAAAACAAAACAAGTAAACAAACATAACATAACAAAACTTACAGAGAAAAGAATGGTGACTGCCAGAGGGGAGGGGCATTGGGGGTGGGCAAAATGCGTAAAAGGGGTCATGAGGTACAACCTTCCAGTTACAAAATAAGTAATGTATAGCGTGGTGACGATTGCCAATAATATTGCTGTGCATATTTGAAAGTTGCCAAGAGAGTAAATCTTAAAAGTTCTCACCACAAGAAAAAACGTTCATAACTTCATATGGTGATAGATGGTAACTAGACACTGTGGTGATCATTTCACAGTGCATACAAATATTGAATCATTATGCTGTGCACCGGAAACTAGTATAATGTTATGCGTCAATTATTCCTCAATTTAAAAATATATCATCTGCTCCCTTCTGGGTGTATATTATACTTCCGCATTACAATGACTAATGACATAGGATTTCTCGTGGCCAAGGAAATATGAACTGAATGGACACTCTCCACTTCTGAGCTAAGAGCCGTTGCTTTTCCCTATGCCAACTGACAACAATATCGCAGATAAAGGCTGCTCTGCCAGCCTGGGCCCCAGAGTGAACATGGTTCAGAGGAGAGACACAGCTGATTTGAGATAGACATGTAACAAAAAGGAGAACTAAACTTAAATCACTGCGATTTGGAAGCCATTTGTTACTACAGTAAAAACCTGGCCTATCTTCACTGAAACCACCATTAAGAAAAAATTAATTTGGGAGTGGGGTATAAGTCAAATGTACAGAGAAAGTGACATATTTAGTTGGACCTTGAAGGCTGTAGAAGTAGGTGAGGGAAAGGGTCTTCAGGGCAGAGTTTCTGGGGTGAGCAAAGACCTGGTGGTGTGGAAGTATATATCCTGTGTAGGCAAGTTACCCACCACACTGGATTGTAAAAAGTGCGCTGGAGTCACGTATTAAAGATCCATTGGGCATGCCAAGGAGTACAGATTTTACCCTGTTGCTGTTTAGAAGCCATATAAAGCTTTTAAAGATTCTAAGCATAAAGCCTCGGTTATCTTTTGATGCTTTGATCTGCAATGCTCTAGGCAAGCGCTAGCATGGACGAGATAACTGTGGGGTCCCAGGACTAAAGGTGGGACAAGAGGGAAAGCAAAAGAGTAGGCCAACGCTGATGATGCTTGAATGATATAGTTTGTGGCCAAAATCAAGCTGAAATCAACTGAAAGTTTACAAAGAAAACATCTGAAGGGGTTTTTTTTTTGTTCCCTCAAGGTTAGAACCCCTTAAACTGAAAACGAGGCTAAACGATATACCCACAGAGCAATAGAGGTAGAAATGGAGCCCAAACCAACTTGTAGGACACTTGACTCAGCTCAAAAGAAAACAACAGTGGAGCAAAACAGTATTAAGTGGCCAATTCTATACCATTTCCAGAGAAAAGAGCTTCAGGGCACATAGTGAGCTTTCAAAACACTCCAGACTTGGTTCTGAATGCAGAGCAGGGGAAGAAAATAAAAACAGAGCAAAGGGGGTAGAGAGCAAAGTGGCTGACAGGCACAATTAAAAGGAGCTTGTGCTGCATTCCAGCCCTTAGCCTTGGTAACAGTTCTTTCTTCCCTTGTTCTAGTTTATTTCTTAATAAAAACTCAATATAAGAGTCCTTAAAATTGTCTGTTGCTCACCACGTTTTGCCCACTGAACTGAGACAGCTTGTTGGCTTTTCTTGGCATATTAGACAGTGATTATATATGAAAAGCTGAGATCTTTCTTTTAAATGTCTATCCATTCTATTTCGGACCCAACATCTCAGGGAGACAAAGACACTACAAGCCATCTTAGAAGGCACATTATTTTGGTTTCCCATGTAACAGCACGACAGGAATTCAACATCAGTGCCCAGAGTCAACCTAGACTATGATGAAGTTCAGCCACAGGCTAGTTACCATTTTGCCTAGAGAAGTGTTTCCTCTTTGCAGCCAGTCTCTTCACATTCTTTTATGTGTCACTGGCTGCATCTTGGCCTACCCAAAACAATTACGTGTCCTCCTGTGAGTTTCCAACACTACCAACTGACACTGAAGAGAGGGTTTTACAAGGATCTTAATAAAGTTTTGGAGGCTTAACACTGGGATGTGGAGATTGTGTACATAGAGTCTTCAGACTCAGGGCATTCTCTGAAAAATCACAGGAGCCTAAAAGACTAAAAACACTACCCCATCTCCTCTTCCTATCTAATTCCTACTAATTTTTCAAGGCCTAGGACAACTCTAACCCACCTTGAGAAGCCTTTTCTGGCATAAACAACTTACCGTTATCATTTCCTTCCAATAGTAGTTGTTTATGCCTTTTTTCTGGCACTTACATCATCTTCCCTTGATTCAAAGTAGAATCATAACTCTGTAATGGTACCTAACTTAGATGTGAAAGTCTTGTTTCACAAATGTATTAACAACAACTATTTTGTGCTCTTTTATAACTCTCAGGAGAGGTGTGATATATATGTGATACAGCTCTCTATCTCTCTATATAGAGAAGCACAAGAGACAAACATGAAGACTACAGAATGTTTAAAGCATTCAAGAAACCTGATTAACTTGATAACTTGATAAATTGACTTGCAAGTTCAACTTGGTAACTTGGTTATCTTGTTTAGTGATTTTAAAAGGATCAGTCTTTAGTGTGAAAATGAAGTATTCCTTTGTCTCTTTACATTGATTTAGTTTAAATCACATTTTAATTTACTTAGAAATTTGAAATAACAATAATGGAGGGCATGAGATTTTTATGCTTGTTAAAAAAAAGAAATGAGTTGGGAAAAAATGATTAAGAAACACTACTCCATGTCATTTACCTAAACTGTATTTCTGATAATAAAATGAGGAAAAATGCCCCTTGTGTCCCTTCAGCTTGATTCAAACGTGGGCCCCTAAGGTGCATGTCGATGGACTCAAAAGGCATCTATCCCAGTGTGAAAATACCACCTGCCGCTTTTCAATCAGCAGTACTTCCATGAGAATCATTTGAGTACTCAAATCTCCCCAAGGGATCTTCCATTTTTTTGACTCAGCATGTAAGCAGGCAAACTGGTTCTGGTGTCTCACCCATTGTAGAAGCTTCTTATAACAGCAACAGCAGGGGCATTTTTGTAGGCAGTATAATTACTCACCCTCAGTATTACACAGCTGTTCTGAGCACATTTCCCTCTTCTACTCAAAAAACAAACACAGAACAATTGTCTAACTTAGTGCCTATTTTGCCTTCTGTCTCCACTACCCTATTAGAAAGAAGTTGTCTCCTTTCTTATGTGCTTCTCCATACCAATCCTTTGAGTAAATACAGTTGTAACTCTTCTTGAAGAAGCTTGCCTGAGGTGTATCTACCATCTTTTCATACACAGCCTTTCCACTATGGTACTCCATTGCAGGGAAAAAGAAATTTACATGGTCCGAAGAGAAATTCAAATTTCTACTACGCTTTGAATTTGGCCAAACATAAAAACACGGAGGGCAACTGCTTATTTTTTAAGGATGAATGAATCCAGCCATATCTGGTGTTGTGAACTATTTTTCACATGAGTTGCTTTCATTGGAGACATTTGCTCTGATGTTTTCCTTTTCATCATTTATGTTGGTGGCCTTGTAAGAGAAATATAAGCCATGCTAGGGAGGTGACTCACACATATTTCATAAAAGTCTGAGTAGTTATGGAAGCCTTTGAGGACGGTGCCAGGTTCCAACTGAGCTCTACAGGTTGTGAAAAACAGGAAATCATACAAGGAACTTCGACAATTGGAGTTTGTTTAAGGATACACAGGCACTGGAACCGGAAAGACATTGGGAGCCAAGGGAAATCTGGGCATTGGCTGTTACCTCTTCTCTCACCAGCCACGTCATCTCTTAGTTATGGCTTCTCTGCAGCTCTCAATACCTGTTTCCTCAAAATCTGCCGATTCTAAACCATGAGACCTCCCGGCACACACACTTTTAGCCTCAGTTCCTTATACTATTTGCTTCATTTTCTCAGTTCAGATTTCCAAGAAAGGTAATCTGTTTTACTAACAAAATATTTTCAAGCCAAGCTACGTACCACGTACACATTCCATGGTCCCAAAAACTATGGTCAAGGGGGTAGAGTCACCTGACCTGTGTAACAATAGCCCTTCTTTAGGGGCAATGAGTGGGAAGTTTCCCTTAAAAGGAACTTCATGATACAAACTTAGAGAAAAAAATGGCAGAGTAGGCAGCTCCAAGCTCTCATTCCCCCACAGAAACATCAAAAAAACAAGCAGAAACTATGAAAAACAACTGTCTCAGAACTTTGGAGAACAGTCAAAGGTTTACAGCAATCAAGCAGGCAATGAATGAAGAAAAAGGCAACTTAAAAACAGTGGGAAAGCTTTGTGGAATTGTTACTTGTCCTTACCTCAAGCCTTCTCTGGCATGGCAGGAGTTGTAGCCCATGGTCAGTGTGGGATTCTGGTTCCTGGTCCAAGAGAAAACAAAGCAGAGCCTATTTACAAATTATTGTGTATGTCTGTTCTAACCTGTCTGGGGGGTTATCTGAAGTACTGATGCAAGGTATTTATCTCCCTTTCACCGAACTCAAACTAAGGCCAGAAAAGCAAGGGGCATTATTCAAAAACACTGGAAGCCCAACTAACAGCCCATTGACACCTGGGGCCAAAGATTAATGTTGAAATATACAATAAACTGCCTAAGTCCCAAGAGCAAAAGTTGGGGAGAATTTCTTTGGCAAATTAGGACATTCAATAGCACCTGTGTATATGTGGGAATTTACAAGGCTGTGCACATGCCCAGGGCAAGGTACATGCTCAGAAAAGAACTGAGAAGACTCCAATCTTTCACCTTGGGCCAATCCCTAGGCTCAGTGCAAGCCAGGTTAAGTGTGGAAGGAGAATCCCAGAACAAAGCCAAGGTACAAAGATTGGGAGAGACATTTTTCATTTATATTGTTTGGTTTTGGTTTTTCTTATTTTCTTGTTGTTTTTTAGCTCCTGGCATTCAAGAGATATCTGTCAACACACTAGCTGAACTTAAGCTAAGGAGCAGAGATTTCAGAGAACATACACATCAAGGAAAACAGTCTTTGCAAGAATAATTTGGAAAGTCACTAAACAAATGGACTGTTACAGCCTGCAACAATAAAAAAAAAAAGCAAAGGCAAACCCTGAGGAAAGAGAAGAATCTGGTTTGCAGAGCTGCAACATTCAAATGTCTGTTTTGCACACACAAAAAAATCACAAGGCATACAAAGAAACAGCAAAGTATGGCCCATTCAAAGGGACAAAACAAATCTCCAGAAATCATCCCTGAAGAAACGCAAGCATCAAACTTACTAGACAGCTGTCTTAAATATGCTCAAAGAGATCAAGGAAAACATGGAAAAAGAACTAAAGCAATCAAGAAAACTACATATGAACAAAGCGAGAAAATCACTTTAAAAATAGGTTATAAAAAGAATCAAATTTTAGAGCTGGAAAGTACAATAAATGAAATGAAAAAGTCACTAAAGGGGTTCAACAGCAAATAATACAGTCTAAGCCTTTAAATTGTAGAATTTAATCCATTTATATTGGAAGTAATTAATGATAAAGAAGGAATTACTTCTGCCTTTTTGTTAGTTTCCTGTATTTCTTATGCTTTTATTCAGCAAAATAGAAACAGATTCACAGAAACAGAAAACAAAGTAGTGGTCAAAAAAGGGAAGAAAGAAGGGGGGAGGGGCAAGTTAGGGGTATGGGAATAAGAGATTCAAACTACTATGTATAAAACAGATAAGCAAAAAGGATATATTATATAGCTCAGGGAATTACCATTGCCATTACCTTGTAATAACTTTTAATGGAGTATAATCTTTAAAAATACTGAATCACTATTCTATACATCTGAAACTAATATAATATTGCAAATCAACTATACTTCGGTAAAAAAAAGAAAAGCATAAATTGGCAGAAGAGATTTTTAAATATGATTATACGCTGTATTCAAGAGACAAACTTCAGATCCAAAAACTCAAATAGATTGAAAGTGAAAGAATGGGAAAAGATAGTTCATACAAATAGTAACCCAAAGAGAGCTGAGGTGTTTATACTAATATCAGACAAAATAGTCTAAGTAAAAAACCATAACAAGAGACAAAGGACATTATATATTGTTAAAAGGATCAATCCATCAAGAAGATATACAAATTATAAACATATATACACCAAACAACAGAGCCCCAAAATATAAAAAGCAACATTGATAGATATGAAGGGAGAAATACATAGTTCTACAATAATAGTTGCAGTATTCAATACCCCACTTTCAATAATGGACAGAATAAATAGACAGATCTATAAGGAAATAGTGAAACAACACTATAAACCAACTAGACCTAACAAAAAAAACACGTCCTTCTCAAGTGGACATGGAACATTCTCCAGCACAGAACATGTGTTGCGCCACAAAACAAGACTCAAATTTTAAAAAATTCAAATCACACAAAGTATTTTCTCTGACCACAATCAGTAACAGAAGAAAAATGGAAAATTCACACACACATAGAACCTTAAACAGCCAATGGGTCAAAGAAGAAATCACAATGGAACCTACAAACTATTTAGAAATGAATGAAATGAAAACACAATATACCAAAATTTATGGGATACAGTGAAGGCAGGGCTCTGAGGGTAATTTATAGCTATAAATGCATACATTCAAAAAGAAGATCTCAAATCCAAGCCTAACTTTACATCTAGAGGAACTAGAAAAAGAAGAACAAAATAAACACAAAGCTAGCATAAGGAAGAAAATGATAAATATTACAGCAGCGACAAATAAAATAGAGAATTGTTAAAAATACTAGTTCAATGAAACCAAAAGTTTGTTCTTTTAACAGAGCAACAGAAATGACAAACCATTAGTTAGACTGACAAAGAAAAAGAAAGAAGACACAAATAACAAAAATAAAAAATGAAAGTGGAGATATTACTACTGACCTTATAAAATTAAAAGGATTATAAGAGAATAGTATGAGCAATCATTTGACAAAAAGCTAGGTAACTTAGATGAAACAAATTCCTAGACATACAAAATCTATCAAACCTGAATAACAAAGAAACAGAAAATCTGAATAAACCTATAAATGTACGGAGATTGAATCAGTAATCAAAAATCTCCCAACAAAGAGCTCAACCTAATGGCTTCATGGTGAATTATACCAACCCTTTAAAGAACACCAATCCTTCTCCAACTCTTCAAAAAAACGGAAGACAAGGAAACATTTCCTAACTGATTCTATCAGGCCAGCAGTGTCCTGATATTAAGCCAAAGACACTAAAAGAAAGTAGAACTACAGAGCAATAGCCCTTATGAACATTAATGCAAAAATCCTCAAGAAAATATTAGCAAACTGAATTTAGCAGCATATTAAAAAGATTATACACCATGACTGAATGAGATTTATTCCTGGAAGGCAAAGATGATTCAACATACAAAAATCGATCAATGTAATACACCACATTAACAGAAATAAAGAAAAAAGAATACATGATCATCTCAACTGATGCAGAAAAAGCTGAGCCCAGTCAAAACCACTGACCCACAGAAGGAACATTTGAAAATAAACCTAAAAATATATGATATTAAGTGAAAAAGACATATTGCCAAAGAATAGGTACAGCATTCAAGTATGGTTCAAAGCATGCAAACACCATACATTTATTGTTTACATTATATATTACCTACATGTAATAACATTATTTAAAATATTCTCAGAAATAAAACAAACCAAATACAAACAACAGAAGAGGTACACAATAATGTTTTAGCTCTTTAAAAACTACATCTGTCTGATGGTTGAAGATGGGTGATAGAATACTGGTTACATTATACCATCCTTTCCACTTTGGGTTATGTTTGAAAATTTTGATGATTAAAAAGTTGCTATACTGGGACTTCCCTGGTGGCACAGAGGTTAAGAATCCGCCTGCCAATGCAGGGGACGCGGGTTCAAGCCCTGGTCCGGGAAGATCCCACATGCTGCGGAGCAACTAAACCCGTGTGCCACAACTACTGACCCTGTGCTCTAGAGCCCACAACCCACAACTACTGAGCCCGTGTGCCACAACTACTGAAGCTTGTGCTCCTAGAGCCCATGCTCTGCAACAAAAGAAGCCACCACGATGAGAAGCCCGCGCACCGCAACGAAGAGTAGCCCCCGCTCACCACAACTAGAGAAAGCCTGCATGCAGCAACAAAAAACCCAACACAGCCAAAAAAGAAAGAAAGAAATCTATATATAAAAAAAAAAGTTACTACACCAAACAACAGTTTAAAAACAACTTTGAGAGAATTGGGGAAATCTGATTATGGGCTGGGTATTAGACAATATTAAGAAATTTCCACTATTTCTGTTAGGTATAATGACGACATGGTGGTCATGTAAAATAAACAAACAAACAGGGCTTCCCTGGTGGCGCAGTGGTTGAGAGTCCACCTGCCGATGCAGGGGACATGGGTTCGTGCCCCGGTCCGGGAAGATCCCACATGCCGCGGAGGGGCTGGGTCCGTGAGCCATGGCCACTGAGCCTGCGCGTCCGGAGCCTGTGCTCCGCAACGGGAGAGGCCACAACAGCGAGAGGCCCGCGTACCGCAAAAACAAACAAACAAACAAACAAACCTCACTGACGCATACCAAAATATCTGCAACTGAAACTACTTGATGTCTAGGATTTTTAAAAAAAGGATTCTAGAAATATAAGAAAAGGAGGTGGAGGATAGATGAAAAACAGTTGGGAAAATATTGGTAAGTGTTAAAGTTGGATAAAAGGCTACATGAGTAGTCAGCATACTATATATTTACTTTAGTGTATTTTTGAAATTTTTCTAGTAAAAAGTTTTTATATACCGAATTATATTATATTGTGATGTACTATAATTACGGTATATTATTAAGATTTGTAAAAGCTAGAGGCAGGTACACAGTTATTCATTATATTTTCTGCTACTCTTTTCTATATGTTTGAAATATTGTTTCATTTTAGAAAGAAAATTCTACATCTTCCCCATGTAAACTTTACCAGTCTCACAAATATCTCTGTAATACCACTCTTTAGAAGCTTATCAGAAGCCTACAAGTCCTTCAAAGTAGAGTTGAAAGACTTCTATCTTAGAAATGGTTCATATGTTCCAGAAAAACCCCAAGAACTCAGAATTCATTTCCAAAGCAAAATGTACAAGATTCAGGAGGCTCCTAAAAGTGTTTTCTTTTTGTATTTCCAAAGAGCTGTCATGCCCTTTTAATACAATGCCTCCTGTATCACCCAAAGAATTCCTGTTGCTTAACATCTCTGTGGGCCCCCTACAGTGCTATGAAGTAGGGTAAGTGAAGTATGCTTCCCTTGGAGGAAAAGTGCTTGTCATAAGAAGTAATTTACCTCGTGGAGCCAAAACACACCATTTCACTGCCAGAAGAAGACA